TATACATAAACTTGTATTTTCTGCAAAAATGCAAACACATAAACTAATCCCACTGGCTTTTTTTATCAAGTGCCACGATCCGTAAGACTTTTGGGAAAATATTCTGTGTTCGGACAAGATAAAATCTGAACTATGTGGAAAGTTCCCACTACATGTGGCACAAAACGAACACAACATTTTATAAAAAGAACATCACCTTAACAGTTCTGTCACTTAGGTAATGAGGCTTACACCTCTTTTCCCTTGTCAGGCTTCCCTCTGACTATTATTATTGATTATCATATATGAACAGCTGCAAAACACAGAAAACATACAATATAAAGCAATAAACCTTCAAACAAATGTTTCAGACGAACATCATTTCACATTACAGATCTCTGTGTAGGCGGATGGCTGATAAGAGCTTAAAGTACTTAAACACACAGACAGTCCTCTTTTCCGTTTTCCTGTCGCTTTCCTCTCTGCTGTTAATGCAAACAGGAGAGTTAAAGTGAGGGGGTGAAGTACAAAACAGGTAGAGACTAATGTAATGGTAATAACATGAAGGTTGAGACGCTGAAGATGGATAACAAAAGTAGGGAAGAGTTTTTTAAGAATATGTTAATTTTATTTAATATTGTTTTTCGATTTTTTTTCAGATTTTTGTTTGGTCAGAACCAATTAATCGGCCCCAATGAGACAACTGCATTCAGCAACAAGTGCGATCATAGATTAAAACATGCATCAATACTATGAAATGATATGGGAATGGTAAAAGTAATCTCAGTGCTGCTGCCTTCTTATGACAATGGATAATCTCTGTTTTTTAAGCCTGATTATTTTTTTTAACATCAGGATCATCATTGCTTGATGTTGACTTTATTATTTTCAAAGTGCCTCCCCCCCCCCCATCAAAAACACAATGAGTTCGGCGTGTGTCTCTCATGTACCCTTAACGACAGGTTCGCAGTGAGCTTAGCGTGTAATGGCCCTAAGTCTTTAGGCCTAAAAGTAACAGGCGTAGTGATATGGTGCCATGTGGTTAGTGATTAACTGTACTGTGCAAAAATCTTGAGACAGCCTGAAGGTACGAATGGCTGCAATAATTTATGGAAGTATGCCCTAACAGACACGGAAACAAAGTATCTAAGGCTAAAGCAGAAATTGTAAAACGTGACAGTCAGCATTTGGTATGGCCACCTCAATTCTTCATCATACCCTAGACTCTCTTAGGTAAGTTTTCTTGTCATTTTCTTAACTTCTCTTCAAGAATAGTTTTCCGAGCTTCTAGAAGTACGATAGGTATCGGCTTCATTTTGTTCCAGTCTCTGTCAATACTGATCCAGTAAAGTTAAGGACTCCAATCCATGACTCATAGTTCCATTGTGTGCTTCTGTCCATGTATGCTTTTAATGCAGTGGTAATGAGTCTGAAATCACTGTCCTGCTGAAAAATGAAGCCAGTAAGACACTTATGGTGGATCAACATCAGCATTCTTCTGTGTTCATAATCATTTTGGTTTTAAATATGGTTGTAGACACTCACTTTTACCCCTCTGTCTCTCTATATATATACTCCATATATATTGATGACTATTTGAATCAAAAATAGCAAATTTGGATTCATGACTCCATAAAACCTGTTACTTCTGATTTTGACTCCAGTTCTTGTGTAATTTGGCAAACTTCATCCCTGCTTTCCTTAAGAATGGTTTCCTGACAGCCACCCGTCCACTAAGAACCATTTCTGATTAGTCTTCAGCGAACAGTAGCACAGAACCAATCTTATGGGTTCTGTGTGCGGTCTTTGCTGCATTTTTCTCAATTCTGTGTTGCTATTCGCCTGCTGACACAACACTGGTTCATCCCTTAACTAAAATGTTTTTTTTTAATATATCCGAATGACTCAAATCATTGGTCAGGAAAATAATCAGATACAAGAGCTTGACTGAAAATGAGTGAAGAAGCAGTCAGTGTCCAAAGAAAAACTTTCAAAAAGCATAGGGAAATATTGCTCAAGACCTCTGTAAGAAATTATCTATGGTTCCTTGGAATCCAAATCTAAAGGAATCAGGGTAGTTCAAGGGTAATGTGAGTTTGTATTTCTTCTTATTTTTTAATTTTTTAGAAAATGTTAATAAGTAGGGGAAAGAAAGGTCGTAAATAATCTTGTGTCTCGAGGTATTTACAACAGCAGTGTAGGGAAACATGATTAGGATTATTTAAAAAAAAAAAAAAAAAAGGGGGAGCTGCTCTTTTTGAGACTCGAGCCATTTCCTGTCCCTCTGGGATTGAACGAAATCTGTTTACATGACTGACAGGATTCCTGGTTCCAGCCTGACCTACAGGAACACACACACACACACACACACACACACACACACAAGAAGTAATTGGTCAATTTGTGATTCTGTTCTGTGCTTGGCTAAGTGAAAACCAAAAAAAGCCACATTTTGATTGATGTTATCATAGCACACCTCTGCAGACTTCTGCTGCACTCTCACTCACCCACTCACTCTACTTCAGCTGAACTCCATTATGCCCATTAAGCTTATCTGTGCAGAGAGATATGAAGAGAGCCTATCTGACTCAGATCACACAGCCGTCCCACGTCCCAGGTTTAAAAACAGAGCCAAGAGGTATCTCTCGCTCTCTCTCTCTCTCTCTCTCTCTCTCTCTCTCTCTC